AGCAAATCCGTCGATTTGAGCCACACAACACGCCACACGACAACGCGCTGTTTGACGCGCATTGTTAGTGATAGGACGACAAGACGAAAGTCCAATAACGCGCCGTTTGGCGCTTTGTCGTGCTATCGCTAGCGACAACACGACGCACACATGTGTTCCAATTAAGCCACCATAGGTAGGTACCCATTAGTTCTAAACAGAAAAGTTCGAATTGTTAAATTTTGGTTGAAGCTATTACACAACGAACAACGGAACAGTATAGTCTGGAATATATAAATCAATGTTGCAAACAGCTGGAAATGGGCAGCAAAACTAGGCTGCCAAAGTGAAGAAACTACTAGATGAATGTGGGTTTGGAGAAGTATGGCTGTATCTATGGTTGCTGATTTGTGCCATTCGTGTTTTCGACCCGCGACCCCGCCAAGCGAAAATTAACAAGTTAAAATTATTTATTTATGTTCGCCCCGCGCCCCCGCTAATTAGCGTGATTTCGTCCTCCGACCCCGCCGTTTTATTTCTTAAATCTTTAAGTTTTATTTATTAAACTTCGCCCCGCGCCCCCACTAATTAGCGTGTTTTCGTCCCGCGACCCCGCCGTTTTAACTTGTTTATTCTCGACTTTTCACTTGGCGGGGTCGCGGGGCTAAAACACGAATGGCACAAATCAGCCACCATATGTATCCGCGTTCGGTAGATATTAACCCATTTATACCATTATTCAAACGAAGATACTAAGTACGTTACTGAATGGAGAGTGTGTACACGAAGTAGCTATTGTATCATGTTGTTCAATAATATTTATCAAGCAGAAATGGTAGAATATTTAACATTGATCGAAATGAAAAATATAGACATGTAATTACAAAAATAAGGTTGTCTTCTCATTGCCTGCAAGTTGAACACGGTAGGCATAGGAATATTCCAGTGCAAATTATGTCTTCCACGAACAACAGAAGATGAATTCCATTTCATTTTAGAATGCCCAGTGTCTTCTCATTGCATGCAAGTTGAACACGGTAGGCATAGGAATATTCCAGTGCAAATTATGTCTTCCACGAACAACAGAAGATGAATTCCATTTCATTTTAGAATGCCCAGTGTATCATTAGAATCCAGTATAAACAACATTGGTATAGAACAAGGCCAAATATGATTAAATTCATTGATTTATTATCTTTCAGTGATGTGCATATTTTATAAAGACTGGCAAAATATTTAATCAAAGCATTTGAAGGAAGAAAGACTCTCTTAAACACAAACTAGATACTTAAAATACTGAATTCAAATACATGTATTTTGTGATATCATATAACCATTACCATATCTCACATTTTCATTATCATAATGTGAGATATCAAAGCCGAATTTCTCAATTTTAACAAATATGTAGACTATGTATGTATCTTTGTTACATACTTTTTATATATGCATATAAAATCTTATTGTTTAATCAATAACTGAGCCGTGCCATGACAAAATCAACATAGTGCGTTTGCAGTCTGATCATGATCCATGCTGTTCGCTTACAAACCCTATTACAAGTAGAGAAACTGATAGCGAACAGCATGGATCCTGATCAGACTGCGCGGAGGCGCAGGCTGGTCTGGGATCCAGGCTGGTCGCAAACCCACTATATGTTGGTTTTGTTGTGACGCGGCTCATATGCTGTTCGCATACGATTGATTAATAAACTTATGTTTATTTAACAGTTCTGTTATGATAATGAAAGTACAGCAATTTAAAGCTGCAACAATACATGATGACTATGTGAAGACAATAGAAAAACGAATTAGCACAAATTTGACGGTCCTATGTTAATTTATATAGCGTTTTTCAGCAACTGATTGTATCGCATCTGAACGGCCTAACGCCAAGAATAGTACAAATCTGATCAATAAAAATACACGTTTATCTTAGCATTCGACACATTTGTGTTGTTTCTTTTTTACTTAAAAAGTGAGCATAGTTAACTCCTTGTAAATCGGTAATGGATGAAAATTTTTACATCTTAACATTTTCGATTTTTAATCTTTTCTTTTACGGTTAGATTATTAATATTTAAGTACACTTATTGTTCGAAATTTTTTTTTATCCAATATAATTGCAGTACTCATTTCAGATGAATAACACATTTTATTATATTCTTATAAATAAGATATTGAGTAATATTGATAAAATAAAATTCGTTTTTCCATTTTACGTATTTTCACTGTAAAAAAATATTTTTCACTGCAGTGAAACATATTTTCCGTATTTTCACTGGTGTTTTGTCGGACTACTTTCTTCTAAATTCAGCCATTACACAAAATTTAAGGGGAAATCTTTCTAATTGTAATATCAAAAGGAAAAAATTATATAATAAACAGAAAATCCAAGTTCTTTTTCTATGAATACAGGATTAATTTTCATCTTGTGGAATGAAAATTATCACGTTTCACTCGTGGCTATCGCCACTCATGAAATATTTATTTTCATACCACACGATGGAAATAAATCCTGTATTTATAGAAAAAAACTTGAATATCCTCTTATAGTATAGGTTAAAGTTTATTATAGTACGTATTTGCAAAATTAAATTGGTCAGGCGCGGCACGGTCGCGCGATTTATATACGTACTATAGTTTGTCCCACCAAATTTGAATATTCCATTTTTTTTTAAATATAACAGTTAAATAATTTAAATTAATGTCATGTTAACCCTGACGTCAATATCTCTAGGCACGTTTTTCCGTTTTTTTTTCCATAAAGTCAGTAATATGGTCAAAATGTTAAAATTATATTTTTCCCGTTGACTTACATTGTAACCATAGGCACCCGGCACGGTGATGGGATTGTGTAAAAAAAGTAATTTTAGAAAGAAAAAAATATAGTTTATATGTAATATTATATATAAACTATATTTTTTCTTCTTCAATAATTACTTTTTTACACTATCCAAACACTGTGCCGGGTCCCTTTGGTTGTAACCTGACGTGACGTCCATTTCAAAATGGCGGCGCCCATACTGACGTCATTTAGGGCTCGTCTCACAATTAGCGTGAAGTGTACTCGGTCATGATAAAAATTTGATTACTCTTTGAAACGCCGCCAATTAATATGAAAAAGGCAAAGCCTCAAAGCGAGCTCGATGTACTTTTAACGTGAAATAGTATGAAATAATCGCTCATTTTTATTTCAAATGCAGTGACGAGTGCTGTGACGTCACACGTACTGTGTTAAATATGGCTCCGCCCCTGTCGTTAAATGAATAACGAGTTTTGAAAACGTTGATAAAACTTTGTTTGTTTATTTTATTTCACTCTATAATTTTTCAAGCGAAATAAAGATTATTAAAAGTGAAATAAATGTTAAACTTAAAACGTTTGCGACATTAAAATAGCGTACTTGATTTGATTGTTTTGCACGTGCTGTTTGGCGCTACATTGTGACGTCACGTAAACAATACTTTAAACGTCTGTACAGCGTTAACGACTGAATAAAAGATATTGGTGTTTGGATTCATTTTCTTAGTTGGAACATTTTCTTTCATTCTAGATAGTTTTCACAACAAAATTCGACAAAAAATTGTTTTAATTTATCAGATTTTTCAAACAAAATGGCGCCTTCAATTTTCATTTTACATTTTCCGTTTTAAAACTGTCATTCGATATTTTATACACAGCTTCCGTTATTCTGGTTCCCTGTCCAATAATGGTTCCCATAGACGTGCGCGGGTGACAAGTCTACACATCCGTTTTCAGTCAGAATTCCTCAGTTTTTATCGTTTTCTTTAAATTCGAAAAGTTGCGATGTGTCCAATTCGGTACTTCGGACGAAAGTTTTCAAAACCATCACTTAGCAGGTACTCGCGTTACCGTAAAGCTCGCTTTGCGAGCAGGCCCTTCGGGCCAGCTCGTCGAGCTCGCTATAACAACTTAACGTTTTTTCTGGAAACTTTAATCAAAACTACATGGCATAGCATTCTCCGAATTTCGATATTTGGTGTAGAGTTTACAAAATATATAAAAAATGAAAACACTTGACACTTGATTTTAGCGACATGCACTATCTCGGAAGTAGCGATAGAGCGATTTACCGTATACCTCCGAAATATACCTCCGAAAGAGGTAGCTCTATCATTTACCAGGCGTGAATAAGGGGCATTAAGTCACAAGTGTGTTTTTTTTGTAGACTCAAAGTGTTACATATTATGTTAATATGGAGGGGAGATCGAGTCAAAAAGAAACACCGAGTGACGTCGCGAGAGAAAAAATACCGCGTATTGTATATTTTGTAGCTAGCTCTAAAAGAGTAGTATTTACAGAAGTCTTGAATAACGAGATAATATATAGGGAAATCATTTCTGAGAAATATTTAAAATAGTTTAAAAACATAAAATCAAAACGAAGGTTATATGTGGATTAACTGTTATTGGTTCATGTTATTAAGTGTAGAATGTTATCAAAAATTTTATTGTTAATACAGTATATGAATTGAAGGTGTAATTTTAACAGTTTTTGCAAAATTTGGGTATACAAAAATTATGTTAAATGCCATCAATACAAATTTATCTCAACGCTTAAAATTATCTGTATGAGGTTACTGCAGTACACATGCCTTACCGCCCTCTGTCAATGCCGCAACTGGAATCATCCATAAAAAGCGCGAGACATTTTTGTTACGTCATATATTTCGTAAATTGTTGCTGACGTAATACAGTTTTTTTCACATTGAGAATTGATGTTGAGGGCGTTCTTGAATTATGGATTTGGAACATACTGAATTATGATATGTTTCATTTACATATTTCGTTTGCTAACCCAGATAACTCCACAAATGGAACAATGTTTTAAAAATGAGACGGATTAACAGTTTAGAGATTGAGACATGTCATTCAGGAATTTTGAAGTAACAAATGGGATCTAAGGAACTGGATAAACTGGCAATGAAGGATTCTTCAGAATGCGAATTTCAACCAATTTGTCGTGACGATTAGAAAGATCTATTTTGAAATTCATAGGGATTCTTTTCAGCTTAAAAGTAAGTGCAATTTCTAGATCTTCTCCATGTGACTCGATGTTTTTGTTGCTTATTATCATTTTTTAAATTTTTCCATCATGCATTACAACTAAACTGTTACATCTTGTAGATCCAGCTTTGTAAAATATTCATGAAACGACCCCGACAACATCATATATGTACATTTTAGAAACATGACGCGTGCTTTCTCCCGTTCATCTTCAAATGAAGAGTACTTCGGATAGCCTATGGCTACGGAAAATAAACAACAGAGACTTGCCGTAGAGAAATTAAACTTTGCTTTTACAAGAAAAGTAGACACTTTGATAAAAATCCTGAAAAATCTCGAGGGTGACTTTTTTAGTTTATAAAAAAGTTTTATTTTTTATTCAACGTCGTTTTGTTAATTCATACCAGGCAAAAGTTTGTTTCCATTTTAATGGGACAGACTATAAGTATAATAATTTTTAACCAGCTTACTGTGTAGTGTTTTAATTTTTTTTCAGTTTTCATTGTAAAAGCGGCGTGACGTCACAAATATAAATGTGTATTATGACGTCACACATTATTCTTAGGGACGACGTCAGCAGTTCATCTTGCGGTTATGGCAGCACATCAACAAACAATTATCTCTCGGTGAAAATCGGTAAGTATTGCGACTTTTCTGTATACTGTAGTATATGTTTTTATACATATGTTTGTAGTTCTTTTCCTAGAAGAAATTGCTAGATCATGATGGTATCACACAAATATAGTGTACAGTACTGTAGTCCTGTGTTGACGCTACCGTTAATGCGCTAACTAGTTATTTTAACATAGGCCTAGTCTCACATGATAAAAAAAAAGTTAATATAAGTCGTATTGAAACGTCGAAGAAGAAAGCTGCATTATTAGTATTTCAACGATTAGATACATCATTTATACATGTCGTTTGGTAAAATATGTCAATAATAATTTACTGTGATCAGAAATTAACATTATTACTTAAAGCCAAACTTATGTCACATATACTGTAATGTGGAGAGAAACGCCGTATACATTCTATGATAATACATGTAGATGCTTATAAATAGTTAAATCTATTATCCATAACAAAACTTATATACTGTGCTCCTCTTAGTTCACAGTACTTAACACTTTAAAACAGTAAACTAAAGAACACAAACAATAAATTTACACTACAAAAACTGTCATAAACTGTATCATTTAGTCATTTTTCTGCTATATGGCACAAGGAAACAACAATATATTCAATCAAAATTAGTTTTAATTTGTCAGATGTAAACCGTGTGTCGGCCATTTTGAAAACAGTATGTCATCATTTACCTCGCGGTAATGGTGTTTTATTTCAGTTTTTTCATGTTACAGTTAAAATTTCTTTAAGTTATTTTGCATAATTATAAAAATTAAAAGTATTTTTACTTTGTAACTCAAAATTTATTTTTTTAACAAACAGGAACATTTAGAAAATGATGATTGTTTCAGACGTATGCACAAATTTAATGGAATATTGTTGTTTTTTGCAGAAGTTTGTAAAATGTTGTTCAGTTTTATGTAAAAATCTATAGATTTAAATTATTTTGCACAAAAGCTTTGTTGTTAAGGTTTTTGAATAAAATATGTAAATTCTGACCAATTATAACAATGGTCAAATGAAAATATGGCATTACCGTGAGATAAATGATGACGCGGAATTACTGATGTTGAGTATACATGTAGAAATTGCTTAGCAAGATTTAGATTACCGTCACATAAACTTCGGATTGAAACAGGTAGATATGGTGCTAATAAAATACCTCGAATGCATATGTCAGCTCTGTGCTAGTAATGATATAGAAGATGAATTCCATTTTACATGTGTATGTGATAGTTATTCTAATATACGTTCTCTTTACATTAAACAATACTACAACAGAAGATCAAGTATGTTCAAACTGATTCAATTATTAAGTACTGAAAAAAAGTCTGAATTAATAGGTTTAGGTAAATATTTATATTATGCTACAATTTACAAAGCATCGATTGAACTACTAAATTGTATAAATCTGGCCTTGTTATATTTAATATTGATATTGTTTATTCTATCATGAAACATTGTTTTACAGCTGCAGAGCTCCAGATAATTTTTTTGGCCAAGGGGTTTTTACCCCTCAAAATCTAGAGTGAGGAGTAAAATGCAAATTCTGAAAAACTTGAGGGGTAAAATCTGTCAAAAAAGCATTTTGCATTTTTTATAAACAAATTAATCTTACAATATTGTTTTTGTTTGTTTGTTTTCTTTTTTTAGAAAAACTTTTACAGATAAGATACTGATTTAATGTGAAACAGTACAAAACATGCTCTGTAAAGTCAGACTTCCAGTGTAATTACACAGCAAAATTATCAGGGCTTCCATTTTCAAAATTTGGAAGTCAGACTTCAAAATCTCTGATATTGGAAGTCACATTTTATAGGCAAAGAAGGAAAAGTATTAGATTTTGGAAGTCACAAGCCAAAATGAAGGAGTAAATGACTCCCAAACTTCCACTAGTGGAAGCCCTGAAATTATTTTATATTCTAGGAGTCAATATTTTCTTTCTTTACTTCTGCTGGCATGTACCTTATCATGTACTCCAGTTTAAACAATTATAGTTGAAATTAGAATTAAAGAAAAATAAACAAGATTTTTTTTATCTTTCCTTAAAAAGGCTTTGGTCTGAGAGAAAATTGTCCGTATACTAACTGTATACTAGGTACGAAAATATTGAGTACAAAACTGCAGGTGAAAAACATGTCTTTTTTGTTCCAACAACAAAAGTGAAAGAAATTAAAATATATTTTTGTTATAATATTGAGGCATAAGCATGTCAATAGATGCCTAAACAAACAATACTATGTTTAATCCTAAGATGATTAGCTGGCTAATTTCACAGGTTGATCTTACGAGAGTTATCGACTCCCTTCTGTACTTCCTGTTACTTTCGTTTTTAACATGCGATGTTGACAACAGAATTTTTAGTTTTCAAAGCAATAAAATGGAAATATATTGATTTTTATGCTAAAAATATCCTCTTTCTAAATATCAAATGTTTCGACGTCTATTCTTTCACGCTTAAATTTTGACATACAAGCGTATTTTCATTTTGTTGTGCGTAACTTTGACGCATGGATTTTGAAAGTGATGCGTATTTTAGATTTTCTATGCGTATTTTACGCAGATACGCACGCTATCTGGAGCTCTGTCAGCTGTTCTCATGGAATTTTATTACAGCATATTATTAAGTTTAAAATCCACTAAGTGACTTTCTATATGCAAATGCTTTATAATAGCTAAGCTTACTTTAGTACTAAATATTGTTAATGTTCAATCTCCAAAAGCATGTAAACTGAATATTTTGTGCTACATCTCATGATATTGTGTTTTAATTATACTAAACAAATGTGTGTGAAATGACTATACTGTACACTGAAAGTATACGTCCATATAACATGAATGTCCGACGCTACACTTTCTCTTTGTAAACCGATGTTCCCTCTTGGTGATATCCTCATGTCATGATTGTATCAAAATAATGTAGTCTGAAAGAAGCATTGTCTCTAAACAATTTCCACTATGCCAGATTTACAAAGTTCACATTAAAATTAATTTATTAAATCCGATATCTGGTGTTTTTAACATAAGGAGAAAGATGTTTTTGCCAGAAATTTGAATTTACTGGATATAAATGGCGTTAATCTGAACTAAGTACTTCTAGAATGTACACTTTTTGGTAGATTTGTTTTAGAAAATACTTAGTGTTCGAACAGATTTAGTAAGTCAGTAATTCAGAACGCAACGGAAATCCTTGAACTCAGTTTAAGTAATGGTTTGTTACTTCGTTTTTATCAAATCTAAAACAAAAAACACAGTCCATGAGTTAACTTATTTAATTATTTGCCAACCGGTTTCTCTTATGATCTTTTGCCCTGATGATCATAAGAGAAACCGGTTGGCAAATAATTAAATAAGTTAACTCATGGACTGTGTTTTTTGTTTTATTTATATATATATATATATATATATATATATATATATATATATATATATATATATATATATATATATATATATATATATATATATATATATATATATATATATATATATATATATATATATATATAATACTGGTACAATATAAACCAATGTTGAAAAATAGCACAATTTTCTTTTAATAATAATTATATGCACATACACATACTGGAATAATACTTGCTTTAGAAAAAATCTTTCATAAAGAAAAACAATATTGTGAAGAATACGATTCTTAATTTCTTGGATAAAATGAAATATATACTTATCACATACCTGATGTGCCGATTTTGCGACTCAGTAAAAATGGTATTGCACGTGCATGCATATATTTTGGCGTGAAGTCATTTGTGTAATTGTTTTGCAATATTGACCGGGGAATTTTTTTTTGTTAGTTTCCGTAATTTATTATGATTTACGAAATTTTACGCTTTAGGATATGAATAATAGGACAGATCTCGATATTAAACCAATGAAATCTGCTCGATGGCCTAGTGGTAACTAAGTACGAAGGAATTGCGACCACGTAGTTGAAAGTTCGTACCTTAGACACACCCTTTTTGGAGTTTGTCTTTTAATGATATATTATATTCTTTTAATTATATTTGAAGCATGTGTTGATAAATCGTATCTTTCATTTTAGCCTTTTTATTTCATTATTTTGATAAATGCATTTTTTTTCATTTCATTAATTTCAATATGTACGACTGTTACGCATGCATGACACATATTGGTCAAGTTTTGCAAAAATAAAATTAAAGTCATACCAGAAAACATAAAAAAATAATTTCATTCGAACCTACAATCTTAAATTTATTTTAAAACTACAGTAACTGAAATTCTAACACCTTGTCAGCGAGGCTAGTAAAGCAAGTGATATCTGGTAAAAACACTTTATAGTCCATTTTTCATCGCCTATTGTTTAAAATCTGTTAGTTTTGAGTAAAATTTCCAAATTATTTGCTCATGCGTACATATTGACCTGTTCATTCCTGATCTTCTTCCTTGCCTAATTATCAAGGAAAGTTGCAAATATAAAGCCCCGGCTAACAAATTTATGCCCGATTTTTCAAATGTACTCGAGTTCTTCTGATAACTCTGAAGGTGTCCTAGAGTTCTTCTGATAACCTTTGTTTCTGCCAGTGTGCTTCTTGCGGAAGTTACGGCACGTTTTATCGTGTTTTTATTATTCAATGAGGTGGCAAATCATTATGAAATGTAGTTCATCCACCGTGCAATAGGCGCATCAATTAAAAATGATTCTTTGCACTTTATACAGTCTTCATTTTATACAGTCCTGATTTTATACAGTCTTTATTTTGGGTATGTCATAAATAGAAAATTAAATTCTATAGTAGGTACATTATTGACTTTATTGAACACGTTGAATAAATTCAGGATTGAAACTACACTCATTCAATATCCTCTATATAGTGTAACAAAAATGTAATATCGGCATGAAATGGTTGAAAGGTACCTTGCTTTAACCACTGACGTCCATCACCGACTTGATAAATCTAAGTTTTCAACAGTTTCAACAACTTTCACATGGTTCCCTTCTCAAATGTCGTATCGTATGTTCGTGTGGCTTTTTTCGGTAGAGAATATCTTTAATATAATACGCGAAAAATAAATCTTGCAGTATTTGCATACTGTTTAGTTAAATCTTCCATTTCATCTATTCTCTCTTGATGGTGGTCTAAACTAAAAAACTTGTGTGCATAATAACAGATCATAAGCTCACACCGTTTTTTCCATAATAATTAATTTAATTGTGAAAAATGACCTAACATTGAAAAACATTGCAACGCTTTTCAGTGAAATATGTCTAAGAAACTATGTATATATTTATTTAGATAATTTCTTCCTTATCTTTTTGTTTATATTTTATATGTATATTAGTGCCCCATTTGATTTATATAAGAAATCATTTTTTTGTTTTTAGGCTTTTTGACCTCAGTGGGGTTCCAAAATAAAACTTTCTTCTGTATACCGTTAGCTCTTTATGATCGAAAATTAAATGTATTCTGTTAAAGGCTAGATAATTTTTCTTTTCTTTTTTTCCAGAAAAAGTGTCAAGGAAACAAGAAGATAAAGGCAAACGAGGGAACTTTAGAAAGAACGATGCTACCGATAGTTTCTAACACGACTTTAAACAATACGTCTTTAAAGTCACAGGACGCTGTCCAAGTACAAACATCACAGAGTAAAGACGATGTTGGATCTAGGACCCAGAATAGCATACGTAGAATGGCAAACTTTAAAGATGTTCAAGTACCTGTTCGAAGGTTTAGAGCTGCAACACCGTACCAAAGACCAGTAATTTTAGACAATCGTGTAAATGACGAATCTGAAAAAGGTACGAAAAGTTCTTTAAGGGAAGTTGACATGACGTCATTTGCAAAATCCCTTGAAGAAACCACTAAGCGGCCAAATGTGACAAGGCCGACTTACAGTTACCCACTGCCTGTTGGCAGAGATACAGGGAATCCAAAACCATGGTCCCCTGTGCCATTTCCAAAACCTTCAAAACGGCCAGGACTGATAACAAATGTTCGCCAAGGTAAGTAGTTTAAGTCTTAGTTTAATATCATTATGGTGTTGTAAGTCTTACTTATTGAAATGAAGTACATCCCTGTCTTGGCTACATTTGAGACATAATAGTATGTGGAAATTGTTTCTTTCAGAATACTCTGATAGTAAGACTGAAGATTTTAAGGGAGAAGAATATCATGACCCGAATAATGTGTCTGTCACAAAAGCAGCAATCACAACAGATGGAAAACCTTCACCCACGGAATTAAATGCCGATTGGAAAACAGACGTACTTGAAATGGAAGGGTACAGAAGTCGCCTTCGTCGTCTCCGGTAAGTTGGACCCTTTCTTACCTGAACCGTACACAGTTGTCAAAATATACCTGTTGATTATATTCTATATTATGACACGTTGTATTACCTCATCCATTCACATACATTGTATTGCTTACTTCCATGTTAAGTAAAAGGCTGCTTATATAGAACAGATTTCCTTTATACGTGTATGTAAAATCTAGTCTCTTTTCAACTTGAATAGACATGATAACCAATTTAAATGCTAGATAGTGATGTTGAGGAGGATTTGAGCGCTATAACATACCACGGGTAGCTTTTTCCCTTTCATTTAAAGGTGCATTCTTTGCATCAGTTATGATTGCTTTAATCCTTTGGTTTACATAATAACTTTCTTCTAGAAGTAATATTCAAATTTGTCTTCTTTTAAAACAAAAGCACGTCCATTAGCAAAGAGGCAGTTCCAGAAAACGAAAGCACGGGCATTAGCAAAGCGGCAGTTTCAGAAAACAGAAGCACGGTCATTAGCAAAGAGGCAGTTTCAGAAAACAAAAGCACGGGCATTAGCAAAGAGGCAGTTTCAGAAAACAAAAGCACGGTCATTAGCAAAGAGGCAGTTTCAGAAAACAAAAGCACGGTCATTAGCAAAGAGGCAGTTTCAGAAAACAAAAGCATGGTCATTAGCAAAGAGGCAGTTTCAGAAAACAAAAGCACGGGGATTAGCAAAGAGGCAGTTTCAGAAACCAAAAGCATGGTCATTAGCAAAGAGGCAGTTTCAGAAACCAAAAGCACGGTCTTTAGCAAAGAGGCAGTTTCAGAAAACAAAGGCACGATCATTAACAAAGAAGCAGTGTCGGAAAACAAATCAGATGGAAAACTTTCATCCGCGGAATTTAATGCCGAACGGAAAACAGACGTACTTGATTTGGAAGGGTACAGAAGTCGCCTTCGTCGCCTCCGGTAAGTTGGACCCTTTCTTACCTGAACCGTACACAGTTGTCAAAAGTATATCTGTTTATTATATTCTATAACGACACGTTTTCTTATACATTGTATTTCTTACTTCCATGTTAAGTTATGGAACAGATTTCCTTTATATGTAAATTCTAGACTCTTTTCATCTTGAATAAACATGATAATCAATTTGAATTCTGTACAGTGATACTGAGGAGGATTTGCATATTATAACATACCATGGGAGGGAAAATACATGTAGCTATTTCCCTTTCATTTTAAGGTTCATTTTTTGCATCAGTCATGTATGTTTAATCCTTTGGTTTATATAATAACTTTCTTCTACAAGTAATAATCAATTTTTCTTTTGAAGCTCGGACATTTTCAAAGAGGCAGTTCCAGTAAACGAAAGCACGGGCATTAGCAAAGAGGCAGTTTCAGAAAACAAAAGCATGGGCAATAGCAAAGAGGCAGTTTCAGAAAAGAAAAGCATGGTCATTAGCAAAGAGGCAGTTTCAGAAAACAAAAGCACGGGCATTAGCAAAGAGGCAGGTTCAGAAAAGAAAAGCACGGTCATTAGCAAAGAGGCAGTTTCAGAAAACAAAAGCACGGGCAATAGCAAAGAGGCAGTTTCAGAAAAGAAAAGCATGGGCAATAGCAAAGAGGCAGTTTCAGAAAAGAAAAGCATGGTCATTAGCAAAGAGGCAGTTTCAGAAAACAAAAGCACGGGCATTAGCAAAGAGGCAGTTTCAGAAAACAAAAGCACGGGCATTAGCAAAGAGGCAGTTTCTGAAAACAAAAGCTTGGTCATTAGCAAAGAGGCAGTTTCAGAAAACAAAAGCACAGGCATTAGCAAAGAGGCTGTTTCAGAAAACAAAAGCACAGGCATTAGCAAAGAGGAAGTTTCAGAAACCAAAAGCACGGTCATTGGCAAAGAGGCAGTTTCGGAAAACAAAACAGATGGAAAATTGCCCCCCACGGAATTAAATGCCGAATGGAAAAAAGACGTACTTGAAATGGAAGGGTACAGAAGTCGCCTTCGTCGTCTCCAGTAAGTTGGACCCTTTCTTACCTAAACCGTACACAGTCATACATTTTTTTAAAGCCGTTGATTATATTTTATAATAACACGATTTCTTACCTCCTCCATTTACATACATTGTATTTGTTACTTCCATGTTAAAGTCTGCTTATAGAACAGATTTCCTTTATATGTAAATGCTAGACTCTTTTCAACTTGAATAGACATGATAATCAATCTGAATTCTGGACAGTGATATTGAGGAGGATTTAAGCCCTATAACATACCACAGAGAGAAAATATATATAGCTTTTTCCCTTTCATTTAAAGGTTCATCTTTGCATCAGTCATAATTGTTTAATCCTTTGGTTTATATAATAACTTTCTTCTTTAAGTAATAATAAAATTTTCTTTTGAAGCACGGCCATTAACCAAGAGGCAGTTTCAGAAAACAAAAGCACGGTCATAAGCAAAGAGGCAGTTTCAGAAATCAAAAGCAAGATCTTTAGCAAAGGGGCAGTTTCGGAAAACAAAACAGATGGAAAACTTTCACCCACGCAATCTAATGCCGATTGGAAAGCAGACGTACTTGAAATTGAAGGGTACAGAAGTCGCCTTCGTCGCCTCCGGTAAGTTGGACCCTTTCTTACCTAAACCGTACACAGTTGTAAAAATATACCTGTTGATAATATTCTATAATCTCCATTCACATACGTTGTATTTCCATGTTAAAGTCTGCTTATATCTAACAGTCTTCCTTTATATGTTAAATCTAGGCTCTTTTCAACTTAATTAGACATGATAACCAATCTGAATACTGGATAGTGATATTGAGGAGGATTAGTGTACTATAACATACCACGGGAGAGAAAAATAGATATAGCTTTTCCCCTTTCATTTTAAGGTTCATCTTTGCATCAGTCATATTTTGTTTAATCCTTTGGTTTACATAATATCTTTCTTCTTTAAGTAATAATCAAATTTTTCTTTTGAAGTACGGCCATTAACCAAGACATAGAGGCAATTTCAGAAAGTAAAACGATGGACGACGACCATAAAGTAGCGCAGGCTGTTTCTGAACAGAAAGAAGAACGTGATAATACAGGAAGTCCACGGAAATCTGACGACAGTGCAAGTGATACTGATACGTATGAAAGTGATGATAATGAATGCTCAAGTGACTCGGAACAACATGATCAAATAGCCATGACGACGAGTTTTCACCACAATGCTGTAGTACAGGACGACATGAAACAGAGGGATAAGCTCACCATTTTTAGTTGTATTTTAAACATTTTCCTGTGGTTTTGGTGGTGTTTAAAGCAATACTTGTTTTTTGCATTTCTAATGATTAGATATTTCTTTTGAATACAGAGTGTGTGTAAGTGAATCTAGTAGTGTCATTTCTACATTGCCCGGATAATTTATTTAAAAACTTAATCAACATGGAAATTAAAGATATTTATTTTGCTCAATGTTCTAATAATAGAATGATTGCATCGCTAAAGCAATACGGAAGATTTTGTTTAAGTTGGTTATTGACGCCAGAGAAAGAGTAAATTTCAAGTTTGATACGCATTTATATCGGATTAAACATATGCTGCTTCAGGTATAATACAACAGTTTAATCACACATATATTATTCTTGCAAACTTTTATGTGTACCTTTTGTTAAAAGAGAAACAGAAATATACAGAAATATTACACGTATAATGTTAATGAAAACCATTACAGTGTCAGTGTAACAAAAATGAACAAATAAGTAAATAAATGAATGGTATTATAATGACAGAGAAAGACACGGAGTAACAAAACCTCACAAATTTAAATAGAAAATGGTGACTACTCTGGCATGAATATATAAGTAGAAAGATAAAGGGTTACCGCCCTTACCCCGAATATACCGTATAAGGTTAGAAATGGTTAGTTGAAAGGGCAAACATGTGTTTTATGATGTTACAGTAATGGATTTCGTGAGACTGTAGAAATAGTGTTGAATGTAAAAATTTGAGCCGCGTCACGACAAAACCAACATGATGGGTTTGCGACCAGCATGGATCCAGACCAGCCTGCGCATCCGCGCAGTCTGATCAGAATCCATGCTGTTCGCTTACAGACCCTATAACAAGTAGAGAAACTGATAGCGAACAGCATGGATCCTGATCAGACTGCGCGGATGCGCAGGCTGGTCTGGATCCATGCTGGTCGCAAACGCACTATGTTGGTTTTGTCGTGACGCGGCTCATATGTTAAACAATGTGATAAATGTAAGCAGAGGTTTTTTGACTTCCATATATGGAGATTCTAAAGTGGCAAAAGATGGTTAGGGTGTATGGCCAATTGAAACTATGACAAAACACCGAAGATAAAAAGGATTTAAAAAATAAAAATAAATAGCAATGTTGGGGATTAATTAGAATAATTTGGGTTGGTATTTAAGTTCTTAAACATGTCGGTAATAAAGCGACCTCCAAGCTGTACAGTAAAGGAAAAAGTAAAATTGTATACGACATGTCTACACGAATTTATTTAAAAGTGATACATTTCAAGAATTTAACGTTTCTTAGAACATTTTACAATAGCAGTTAAAATATGCATCCAGTAGCTAAATTTGATGTTTTAATTTCAGCTGGATGGTGTAACTATATACTTTTATATAAAGGGTACTTCAAACAACAAAATACGTGTGCTGGGCTTTAATACACAGTAATTGTTATGATGTATTAAAACTTGATGTCTAGGATGGTTAGTCAATACAGGCTTGCAAATGCCGTTTATCTGAATAATCGCTATATTCTTGGTACTTGATTATACGACTAATGTAATTTCCATCTTTACATAATTAGGTTGTTTATCTATAAATCTAAATGGAAATAAGAGTAGCTGTCCCGTATGAAAACTAGATGTTCATTTATTGGATTTATTATTATGACATGGCAGTTATGTTATTGTTGATCTCTTCCCTTGGGTAATATTTGATACCTCAACTCTGACTTATAATAACAATAACACCAATGACGTTGGAATATATCACGGACTATAAAAAAGATTTCTGTGCAAACTCCTACTGAGGAACAACTGAGTGTAATATATGACCTGTCTTCATCAAAACAGGGGTTTATCATAACAGGGGTTGATTATGACAAACTTTTATCTTAACAGGGGTTTCTCATAACAAGGGTTTATTATGACTGAGGTTTATCATGATATGGGTCTATCATGAAAAGCTTTTTTTCTTAACAGGGTTTTATCATAACAGGGGTTTATTATGACAGAGGTTTATCATGATATGGGTCTATCATGACTTTTATCTCAACAGGGTTTTATCATAACAGGGGTTTATTATGACAGAGGTTTATCATGATATGGGTCTATCATGACTTTTATCTTAACAGGGGTTTCTCATAACAGGGATTTATTATGACAGAGGTTTATCATGATATGGGTCTATCATGACAAGCTTTTATCTTAACAGGGGTTTCTCATAACAGGGGTTTATTATGACGGAGGTTTATCATGATATGGGTCTATCATGACAAGCTTTTATCTTAACAGGGGTTTATCATAACAGGGGTTTATTATGACGGAGGTTTATCATGATATGGGTCTATCATGACAAGCTTTTATCTTAACAGGGGTTTCTCATAACAGGGGTTTATTATGACAGAGGTTTATCATGATAAGGGTCTATCATTACAAGCTTTTATCTTAACAGGCGTTTATCATAACAGGGGTGTATCATAACAGGGATTTATTATGACAGAGGTTTATCATGATATGGGTCTGTCATGACAAACTTTTATTTTAACAGGGGTTTATTATGACAGAGGTTTATCATGATATGGGTCTATCATGACAAGCTTTTATCTTAACAGGGGTTTATCATAACAGGGGTTTATCATAACAGGGATTTATTATGACAGAGGTTTATCATGATATGGGTCTATCATGACCAGCTTTTAACTTAACAGGCGTTTATCATAACAGGGGTTTATTATGACAGAGTTTTTTCATGATAGGGTCTATAATGACAAGCTTTTTAATCTTAAACAGGCGTTTATCATAACAGGGGTTTATCATAACAGGGATTTATTATGACAGAGGTTTATCATGATATGGGTCTATCATGACAAGCTTTTATCTTAACAGGGGTTTATCATAACAGGGGTTTATCATAACAGGGGTTTATTATGACAGAGGTTTATCATGATATGGGTCTATCATGACAAGCTTTTATCTTAACAGGCGTTTATCATCACAGGTTTTTATCATAACCGGTATTTATCATGATAGAGGTTTATCACAGTCAACACGATCTTATAAAAGCAAGAGCATTGAAATTTACATATAATCAAAACGTTAATGTAATTATATTTATAAATGGTTTAACACACTTTATGAGCCATTAATTCCACAAACTTTGGCTTTCAAGTATGAAACTGCTTCATTTAATAATGTTAAAATACAAACTTTGTGCAATTGTTTAATACAAGGATACAGGATATATCATATTGCTATTCTGTTTCATGCTTGCAGGAACATACATGTATACTGCAACCCCACATCAATCCAATCCAATCAACAAGTTCACAATCATATACCAAACGTCTTACAAATAAAGATAAACCCCACTTCTTAGGAAGAGTAAACCTAACTTGCCATTATATATAGCAAAATGTATCTTGTTATAAAATAATCCAATATGACAGATTTCGTTTTAAGTGTTTTTATTATATTTATGTAGTACATTACACAAGTAACACAACTGATTATTGTTTGAAAAACCTTTGGTTTTAAAACTATTTCTTTTCAATGCATTTATGAACGTTTTAATTAATGTGACGCGTCCCGTAAAATATATTTATTAAACTAGTTTTCTTTGAGTTTAATTTATAAGAACATCTCATTGGGTCTAATCATCAATGCAATGACTCTGCAAATAGTATATAACCTTTTAGGTACATGCATAGTAAAAATATAGTTACTCTTTGAAGTACATCAGATTCTCATCTGCAACATAATGTGTATTTCTAATTGGACAAATATCAAGATATTGATAATGTGTGCCACTAGACAAGTTAAGTGGTCTTTTTTTCTATGCAAATATTATCATCTTTTCCATGCATGCCAAATATTTTACAGTAAACACTGAGGACTGATAGGGCTTTACAACGTCTATATCACACTCGAGATTTTTTCTTCCAATATGTTAAGTTGAATCTCACTAAGACGACCGTAATTACAATGTATATAAAGTTCAGTGTGTTCTGTCCTACTGTCCCCTTTCCAATAGTTTCTTTACTCATCTTTAAATACTGCCGTAATATAGGGGATTTAACAATTGTGCCTATATTAATTCAACAGTATTTGCTTATTCTCCACAAGCCTCGTATAAATTTCGTATTTGCAAATATAACAACTGTCTTTCTTCTGCTGAACTAATCAGAACTCGGCACCATGAAATAGTGTACATTTTTGTTACATAATGTAATTCATTTGCATCTCTTATATTTGTCAAATGTGTGTGAGATATTGGATACAGTTTTAAGATGTTATAACTTTATCATTTAAATATTGTCAACATTGTTGTCTCAATTTGTTTTGTACTATTGTATCTCGCTACAGTAATATGGTAAATAATGTTTATATAAAGTAACGTGTGTATATTATACTTTATTATATCTTAGATATAGTGATACCCTGAAATTACGAATTTGTAATATAACGTTTGTCTGAAATTGATATGATACACTTAGGAACAGATATATAACTTATATTATGAAAAACTAGATTTATGGAGATAATGCGTGATAACAACCAATACACTAAAACACCATCAGTTCTGACTCAGACTAGAATCGATGAGAGAAAATTTAGTCTACCAATGCAGAAACTTTACATAATCGAAAAACAAAAACACACCAAAACGCAGACGAGTCTAAATGATGAATGGCATATATAACAAATTATTGTTTATACTAAATATTTTATCCGGTATATTGGTGAACATTCGTCAATTTCTGTCTTAAGATGGATCTTGGTCCTTTGTAGATTTAACTGAAGGGTAGACAAATAAAAAATAAACCCCGACTATAAATTTTGACAAAATTTAAGACCAATTAGTTTGATAGTAAGTAAACACAGATCAAGTATATACAAATGAAAAAAGTTAATTTGACATTAACAAAAACATTAACAAAAACAAATGATAAATAAAACAAAAAGGGTTTTTGAATGCAGAAGAGAAAAAAGTCTAAATTTGTCAACCATTGTGTAAGAACTGTCGGGGGGAAAAAAGCAAACAAAAAACAACTTTTATAATGACGCAGAGGAATACAACAAAATCAATTAGCCATATGAAAATGCAAGAGGTAGAATGATAAGCAAGTT